GGGACTGTTTCAAGCCTGAAACAATCACCAGTGAATCTTCTGCTCTGGTGAGGCAGACCAATCCCATTATGCAATCGCCAGTCACAGACCTGCTGTATTCAAAATGACAGAGCAGGTTGACGTCACAGGTTGCTATTAACAATACAAATAAAGTTAAGCTTCGAGGATCAAAGCCCCATGCTTAGACTCTGTTGAAGAAGGAGCGATAGGTCATCTTTTCCCCTGTGATTTACTGCATATTTTAGCTTGTTTTAAAGCTACTATCCAGGATTTTCTCTACGTTCAATTAACTTTTTTGTAAATTGTAATTTATATGGTTTAACCACAAGCTCCCAGGCAGCAGACACAGAGGCCCCTGATGACATCACATAAGCCAGGGGGAGCTGGTCAGGGCTCTGTTGAGCAGGGGCAGACTTACTATAATGCTAAGATAGTTAACCGCCTTGGGGCCCCTCCCTGAAGGGGCCCTGAGAGTCAGGGCAAGAATATATCATCAACTTCTGCTCGACCCTGTCCTTACAGTGAAATGGACTAAACCCTTAATAACATAAAACAACTGGATGTGCACTGTGCTGCTTGAGGAAGCAGATCTAAAAGGGAGGGATGAAGAAAAAGGAAGAAAAAAAAACACACTTCTTGACTCATTATCTTTGCAGGGCCGTTCTATTGACTTTACGATTATTGTGATAATCGATTAATCTGTTGATTTTTATCGGTTAATCGTTTAATAATCGAATGAAACCAGAATGAAACCAGTTGAAACTTAAACTTTCCGACTTGTGGAGTTCTGGATAGAGAATATTGAGAGAACATTTTTAATCTTAAATACAAATTTTATATATTTTTTCACAATTTTCGTATAACTACTCTAAGTGGTTTCCTCTGTCAGCTAAAGGTTTTAGAGTCTCTATACTTCAATTGATTACTAATAGATTACATAATTAGATGACGATTATGTCAATAATCAATTAATCATGATGAAGCTGATTAGTTGTTTCAGCCCTAACCCTAACTATTATGGGTTCATACCTAAGCCTAAACTAAACTCAATTCACAACTTAGTCCTAAACGTGACTCCTGACCCAAAAACAGCAATTCTCCACATGGGGTCCAGGGATTGGGCCGACAGTAGACAGTCCCCACAATGTATTAAAAACACGAGCACACAGACAGAGATAGAAAAATCATTTTAAAGCATTCAGACTAGTTTTTTATTCCATATAATCACTACCTGCTCCTCCATAATGTAATGAGTGAAAAAAGAAAATTATTTCATATTTTATGTGCCATTTCTATGCATACAGCTCTTGGCTGTTTAAAGTTACAATACTGAAAAGTAAAAAGTAATAGAAAGTATTTACAAATGTACCTTTTACCCGTTTACTGTTTATTTTTCACCAAACATGCCATAGAAACTAAACTCACAAGGATACGGTTTGTCTAAAAGGAAAACATGCACTGCTATTATATTAATACTGTTTTAATTAGTGAAATATTACAGTGAAAAGATGAAGATCTACGAAATGTCCAAAATGAGACACCATGTTATATTTAAACCCAACAAGTTAACATCTTTTCCTCTATAGAAATTGGTAATGCCAACCGTTGCATTTCCGAATTCTCCTGAGTGATGCCCGACTGTATATGAGTGAATAAAGTGAATGTGATTGGTTGTTTATCAAGAAGGCGGGATTGTTGTGGTGGAAGGTTCGCAAACAAGTTTGGTTGACCCCGCTTTGTCAGAAGCATCTTGCTAACCAGTTAGCAACTTAGTGTTAGTAGGTTCCCAATGGGAAATTACATTGGGACCCAGTAGCACTAAGAAACAACACTGTGAAGGAACGCTATAGAAGAGGAAACATGCAAGAGGAGGAGAGTTTTGTGTCGGAGGTCGTGGATGAGTCTCCTCCGTCATACATTTTTTATTTAGAGGAGGAAATCAAGGACAAAGTTGTTGTGGAAGAGGACGGCAGTGCGGCAGAAGCTTGGTTTGGTGTAGAAGGCTTACAGCCGTACATGTTTGAGCCCTTGCCTCGC